ACATTTCACATGAATTAAATTCAGGTGAGTATGGTGCTTGAAAAAGTAGCATAACATTTCTTGTTGCCAACATTTCACGAAGCGCTGGCTCAGTTATTCGGCCATGGTGACAATTATCCATTATTACTGTATCGCCTGGTGACAATACATGTTGCCCATTCTCGTCGAATAACTCCATGGTCTCTTCAAAAAACTTAAGCATTTCGAGTCCATTGGAAGGACCGTCTAAAATGTTGAAGTCACTTACACCTCGGGCGTTGTGTAAGAGATTCACTGTAAAATTGACGTCAGAAGCATAGCGTTGAAACTCGACAGCTCTTTGACCGCGTAAACTGTGACCGTAATTGCGATTTGGCGTCGTTCTCTTCACACCAGTCTTGTCGAAAAAGTGCAAAGTTTGTGGATCAAGCTGAGAAACAGTGTCTATATATTGTAAAATTCGTTCCATATTTCTTTCAGTAACTTGCTCAGTAGGAGTTTGACTTATTTTTTGAACGAATAATTCAAATTACTTTTCATTATATGATGTACCATACGCACCGAAGGCAAATTTTCCTGTACGCAAATACTTTCCCTCAAGAGAGACATGCGTATTTCCTTTGCCGTCAGGGATGGTTTCTGTAAGAGACGAAATTCCATAAACTCATTTCCTGTGTAGATTTCAGTCGACGACGGTCGCTACTCTTGTCAGAACGTATCCAATTGGTGCGATGGAAATGCCTCACAATCCCTTGGACCGTTGCCTTCGCTAGTCCAACTTCCTTGGCGATCATTCGCAAACTATTTCCATCAAAGAAAAGACGAATAATCTCCTTCCGAGTGTCTTCGTCAACACGCTTTGGCATAATAGCAATAATTTTATAGTCAGCGAGCAATTCAAACTTGAATCCAGAAACTACACTCAAAACTAAACTGTTCTCGCGAGGGTAATTCCATTATATGTTAGGGGTGTTGTATTACATATTTGTATTAACAAGGTTTCTTATATTAGTGAAACGTTCAAAATAGAATTTATTTATTAAATGAACGAGCATATCTATGCATGACATAATAAAGTGTCCGACAACAACAGTGAATACTGTAGAATACTTTATTTTCGCTATTTTCGCTGAAGGGATGATTCCGTGAAAATAAAAACCAGCGAATATACGTTTTTTCCTATATTTTACATTAATCTCATCAAAAATCAGTGAAAATAAATTCCAAGCAAAACTCCCAAAAACCCTTTTCAGCGAAAATTAATTCCAGCGAAAATAAAGTATTCCACAGTAAAACATTGTTTGATAAATGTTTGACTGGGCGCTTACCCTGGTTTTGATTAAATGTCAAGTGTTACACAGATTGTTATACATACACGGCAATGGAATATCCCAACTACCCCTCTTTCCTTGTGCCTACACATCAAAAGCGTACCGCGTCCGGTGTTTTGATTAACTGTCACGTGAGAGTGTATGTAAGTTTATTGCGTCTAGCAAAGTGTCTGGGGATGTTGCAAAGTCCCTTGGTAATTACCTAGCGGGTGCGCGAGTTAGGTGTATGTAAATATCTTGCGCTCGCTGTAATAATTTTTTTGGCATTCATGAAGACAACATTTTGCAAAAGTCATATTTTGTGACATATGATAGCAGGTTCACTGCTTTCTTCACTGCTACAAAACTTTGCAACTTCCACTGACTTGTGAAATTCAAAATTTGTCTTTTCTGAAATTAGAGCGGTTTTCGGTGTTTCATTTGAGACTTAGAATCAAAAAAATGTTGCTCTTATAGACGTCTCTAATTATGAAGAAGAAAACATTTATAGCGCCTGTAATTTAACAATTTACAACATTTATGCAAAAATTTTACTTGTTCTCTCGCTTGCAGAATTCTATTTGAATTTACATTTTTCGAATAGATAGGTACACTATATAATAAACCCTATGCCTATTTCCAATACATGTATTTCTTCAAGTTGATTTCAGTTTTTAATTTTCCAGTTTTGCAATTTCAATTCTGCATTTTATAGACAACCTGTAGTATATTTTGCTTTGCATCAGATGGCCATAGCGTGTCATTGTTTACAAACAAGCGTCTACCATGAGCCTTTGCGTTTTTAGTGTGAGTTGTTATCGTTGATTAAGACTCAATTCCCGCGTGCTTGCAGGTGACATCCCGTCTGCCTTAATAATTCAATTTCATTTCTGATTATTTACAGGGGACTTATAGCGATTGAAAGCCTCCGAGAATTGGAGAAAAGATGTGGCAAACCAATACACGAGATGTTTGATTTCATATCTTGCGTTAGTTCAGGAGCGGTCCTCGCCTGCTTAGTTGCCTTTGCCAGAGTGTCATTGGATGATTGTGAAAATTTGTTTCAAACATTAACAAAAGAAGTATTCCAGCGTAGTGCTATTGTTGGTACGGGTAATCTTGTCTGGAGCCATTCATTTTACAACACTGACGCTTGGATCAAGATCTTGAAAGCGTAAGTTTCATCTTTCCACAACCTCGGCATTATCTGCAGTCTAGTTGTGTTTATTAATCTACTAATTATTTTAGAAAATCTTGCCTCCAGGTTGCCCCAGAAATGTGTGTTAGTGGGTATATACTTTGGGTATATACGGGTATAACACTTTGAAGGATAATTTTGCTTAGTTGCGCTCAATATTTATTGTTTTTTGTCAATTAACAAAAGCATTAGACCCAATTTTTGGAATAACAGAGATTGATTTACCATAGTAACGTGTTGAGTCTTTGGGTGAATGAGATTCATGTATTGCTGGGAGCTAGTATTACATTTTCAGAAAATAATTTTAAAAATAATGAAAATAAAGTCATTGTATAATATTATATGAGTCATCACCGACCATATTAACAAAAATTATATGTTGTTAAATGTGTCTCTTCTACGTCATAATATTTTTATGTTCATTTTCACTTTCAGAGCACATAGCAGGAGTGAGATTGCGTTAATTGACACAGCTGCTGATCCAACGTCTCCAAAGGTAAGAGTTCTCTTCATAATATGTCAGGTCTGACAAATTGTGTCTGTGGCTAATTGTGACTTGGTTGACGTAAACGGCTCATATTGT